GTGTGTGTGTGTCTGTGTCTGTGTGTGTGTCTGTGTCTGTGTGTGTGTGCGCATGTGTGTTTTAGTGTTAGGTTCTCACCTTGTAGACCAGGTTGACCTTGGACATCCCTGTTTCTCTTGCCTTGATGGAGCCCAGGCAGGGCCTCCGGCCCCTGTGGAGATGATGACTTCAGCTCCTTATCATCTCATCTCTACCTCCTGGTGCTGGTACTGCAGGCGTGCACCATGGTGTGCACTGGCTGCTCTTTAGAGGCCCTGAGTTCAATTCCCAGCAACCACATGGTGGCTCACCGCCATCTGTAATGAGATCTGGTGCCCTCTTCTGGCCTGCAGACATACATGCTGGCAGAACACTGCATAACAAAGCTTAAAAAATGTGAATTACTGTGAGGGAAGTTATGGCTAGGATGTGCTCTGGAATCAGCTGTCCCTGTATGACAGAGACCACTGACACACACCCTCTCTCTGATGGTGGCTCCTGGAGTCCATAGGCAAAGCCAGAGGCAAAGCTGGAGGCAGGGGGTCTCCTGTGTATTTCCTGTAGGAAAATCCCACTAGACTCAGGGCGGCCTCCACCCTGGCTGCTCAAAACAGGTGACCAGACCATTTTTAGGTGACGCCACAGAAAAGCATCCTTCTTGCAGCAGCGGCAGGCACAGGCCCCTCACTACCTGTCAATCTTGTCTTGCTGTCATAGCAGCTCCCACAGAACCATCTCCCACCACCTGTGCCCCTGTCCAGAGCTGGGATGTGCCCCGGGTACTGATTCTGTTGTTCACAGCGGGCCAAGGGGTCACCATCATCGTCCTCAGCATTGTGCTCTGCAGGCGGAGGGCCCAGGCGTCTCGGGACAGAGGTGAGTCTTTGCCCAGAGATGTCACCTGGGTGTGAGGAAGAGGGTCGGGCTCACACCAAGACTCTGGATGGCCTCTGCCCTAGGGGAGGGGTGGCAAGGAGAACATCCCTGAGTCATCTAGTCACTGCTATCCATCGTTCGGCCCCTTTCCCCCAGAGCCCTCAATTCCTCACTTCAAACCTGAAGTCCAGGTCTATGAGAACATCCACTTGGCCCGCCTTGGGTAAGGAACACGGGGGGGGGGCGGGGGGGAGCTTTCATCATGTCCCAGAGGGCCTGAGCATGGGAAATTGTTGCCTGGGTCTGGGGTTGGATGTTGGATTGCAGACGGAAGTCCTGGTGTAATAGCTTTAACATGGCTTTGCAAACTCTACAGCCCGCCCACCCACAAGACCAGGTGATCTTGGTGACATCTGCCTCAGAAAGCCTGACCTGCTGTCCTCTGTCACTGGCGTCTGAAGGATTCCCTGGAAACCCCGTCGAGGGGGTGGGGCTGAGGGTGTGACTCTGATCCCACCCAGCTGGAGGGGCCAGGGGCCACAAAAGGAAGGGAGTAACATCACTCTGTAATGCCACCTACAAAAAGGTGTGGTCTCCTGTCTTGAAGCAGCTGTAGAGGAGTGACCCAGAGCAAGACGTGTGTGATGGGGTTTGGAGTCTCTGCTTCGTACAAGAGGGAGAGGGAAGCTCAGAGACTTGAGAAATGGCAGGGCGTCTGTGATAGGAGCAGCTGTGAAGAAGGGGGGGGGGCAAGGAAGAGAGAAATTGAGAGACCCAAATGCAGAGTGGGGAAAGCGGGAGCCCCAGATGGGGAGACTTGGGGGACAGGGACAAGGGAAGATTCAGCAGACCCCCCCCCCCACCCAAACCACCCCCCCCCCCCCCCCCCCCCCCCCCCCCCGCCGTGTTGTTCTCACAAAGAGACACTGAGAGGGAATAACACCCTTAATCAGGCCCCAGACTTCCTCAGACTGGAGCAGGAGGGAAACAAGCCCAAAGGGGAGGCCAGGCCTCAGCCCCAGCAGGATGCTCTCCTTATCCCAGGAGCACACAGGCTCCTCTGTGGGTCTCTATCAGGCATGAGCGGCTTATCACTTCTGACTCCCTGGGAGCTCTGGCCCTCGAGCCCAGGGGTCCCACACTATCTGCTGGGCAGAGGAAGCACACACGAGGGCGGGCACACAGATCCTTAGTGGAGTGAGTACTTCCAGGCTTTCTGAATAGAGGCCAGCTCTGGGCCGCGGAAGTGGAAAAGGTCATCAGTGCTCCAAAACAGTCAGTCTCCAGCCTCCAGAAATGAGACCACACCCTCACAAGCAGCTCTGCCAGGCTCCCTTTTTTGACTCTCCTCTCAAGTTTGGCTCTCAGTGGAGAGAGCAGCTTTCTTGGAATCCTCACCTGCAGCCTTCACGCTGCAGTGGCTTGGGCTCAGATGTTGGCAGGAAAAAGGATGACAGCCACACAGAAACTGGATGCAGGCACCATTCAGGTTCCAATGTGCCCGCCCAACCCGCAAGGCAGCTACAGTCTGTTCTTGTGTGAGTGTTGCAGACATACGGGTGCCCGTGTGTGCACACCAGTGCATGCATGGAAGACATCAGATATCCTATTCTTTCCTCTCTATTTTATCCCTTTGAGGCAGGTTCTCACTAAACTCGAAGCTAGGCTGATGGCCAGCAAGACCCACAGATCCTCCCGTCTCTGCCTCTCATTGGCACTGGGGTTACAAGCGCTCATGTGTGGCTATACTCGGCTTTTTGTTTTAATTTTTAAAAACGTTATATGTACTGGTGTTTTGCCTGCGTGTATGTCCTGGGACTGAATTATAGATGGTTGTGAGCCACCATGTTGGTGCTGGGAATTGAACTCAGGTCCTCTGCAGGAGCAGCCTGTGCTCTTAACCACTGAGCCATCTTTCCAGCCCCAAGACCAACTTTTTAAGTGGGTGCTGGCACCCAAAACCAGGTTCTTATGCTTATGCAAATGCTGGTATCCAAGGAGACAGCGATTCCGCTCTGTAGAGTTTATTCTTAAAGTGCACCCTGGTGTTTCATCACCACCCACTACGCTCGACGTTAGCACTCCCGGGCTCACAGACAGTCCTGTTATTACTTTTACATATTATTTATTTTGATGATTCAGGGGATTGAGTATGGTAGGCAGGCGCTCTATCTCTGAGCTGCTTCTCTACCCAATAGCGCTTTAATTTATGGTTCCCCAAAGTAGCCTTCCATATTCTTCAGATCCTCAGGGACTGGGTTACATCTTTCCTAGCAGTATTCTGCCCAGTCCCACTACCACTTCTGGCCCTTTGCCTGGGACCCACAGATCCTCTAGGGGAGCTGACCTGGGACACCTAGGGGAAAGACAGCAGGGGTTTCTTATGAGGGAGGCTCTGGACACATGCATGCTGGGATCGGAACTCCAGCTGTAGGAATTGGGTCTCAGGAAGGGTCTGTAGAGGTGTTGGTATAAAAACCCTCAAGGGCCAGGGCTTTTTTACACAAAGTCACATTCTCGAACATGTCCCGGAGACATCGGTGTGTGTGTTTCCAGGTCCATGATGACATCGGAGTCCTGGGTTGACAGCCATGGACTCACAGGCAGAGAAAGATATGTGCTCCCCAGGCAAGGAGTAGCAGGGTGGCAAGGGGAAGGCTTGGGAGTCGCCCTGAGGGAGCAGTGTTGCACAGGTCCTGCTCACAACAGTGGTGTCGGAGAGCATAGGACTGTGACCAGTAGATGGCATGGCCCAGAAGAGGGCACTGGGCCCTAGGGAGGCAGCCTTTCCGCTCGATGACGTCTTCCTTCTTCTGGTCTATGGGACAAAGGGACACTGAGGTTGGGTGGCAGGAAAGAGAGGTGAGAAGCCATCCAAAAAAGGGCCATTGGACCAGAGTCCTACCTGAAGTGCCAACACTGACTCCACACACCTCATCTTCCTGGCACTCTGTGAGAACGGGGTAGCAGGGCTTGGCAAAGCTGCAAGCATAACACTGGAGTCGTCCCCTGGTCGAGGAAGTGGTGAGACCTGTTGGGTCAGCAGAGATCAGTTCGGGGAGGAGAAGATAAGAGGTAAAGCCAAACCTCTGAGACACACTGAGGAGGGAGAGGAGAAAACATGCAGGCAGGGACCCAGGCAGAAGAAAAAGGGACACAGTAGTCAGGGGAGACAGACAGGAACACAGGCCAGGAGAAACAAGCCCACAGAGCGATACAAAAAGCCAGATCCATAAGCGGGAAGGAGAAATGCAAAAGTTAAGTGAGAAATAAAGGGTGTGAATAGAGATGGGTCAAAGATTCAAAGAGGCAGCCGGGAAGAGACACTCTCAAATGCCCGCCCTCCCCCGGCCTTTCGAGAGAGTTTTACACAGCCTAGGCTGGCCTGGGAGTCCAGCTCCTCCTGCCTCAGCCTTCCAGTCTCTTAATAACTCCCTGTTTCTCTTCACATCTGTCAGCTCCCTCTCCCCTCTCCATTCCAACTCGGGCACACGCGCCTGTCCCAGCCCTCTGCCCTTGTGTGTTCCCCGGTCACCCTTACCCAGTGCCCCAGAGAGGAACAGGATGCAGAGGAAGGCTCTGGAGGGGCCCATGGCAGGACTGGCTCGGCAGTCTGGGAGAATGAGATCTGCACCCCAGTCAGAACACACCTGGCCAAAGACAGGGAGGAACCAGTAAGCAAACAGACCTAGCGAGAGACTCTGGGGTGTGGAAAAGTGAGAGATGCAACAGCTCTCACTCCTGCCCATGCTTGCCCAGAGGGTCTCCTCCTGTTTTCTCAGTGTTTGCTAACTCAGCCTAGCTGTCTGCCTGCCTGGAGTCGTGTCTGTCGCCTTCCCTCCTGCTCCCCCCCCCTTCAGCTCAAGCTGTTCTCAGTTCTTTGTTTTTTGTCTATCCCCTCAAAGCCGGTACTTTGCCTCCTGAGGTCACACTCTGAACCCTCCCCTGCCCTAGATGTTAAGAATCTTGTTGAGTGTGGTATCAACAAAGCCCACCTACCATTCCCACACCCTACCCTACCCCACCCCACCCCACCCACAAAGCCCAGCAGTGAGGGGCCTGCCCCACTCATTCAAATCCTTTGATTCACCCCCCACAAGCTTCAACATTGCTACCCCATAATTAACCCTCCTGGCTTTACTACTATGAGACAGCAAAGAATTAATCAGGAACTGGACTAGAAGGATGTGTGTCCTTCCTCTGGGAAGAAACTGGAAACGGAAGACGGGATGGGAGAGTAAGGGACACTACTAGGGATTAAGAGACTGGGTGTATCTGTGCAGCCTTAGAGGGCTTATCCAACACCCGGGCAGCCCCGTGCCATTCCCAGTACCAACAAAAGAGACACTTCACCAGAAGGGCTATGGCAGGAGGAGGGCGGTGAGCGTCTTAGCATCTCTTTGTACCCTGAAAACGACCGAGGACTTCAGAGGTCCTTTCTTCATGTGAATTCTATCAATGTTTACCATACCCAATATTAAAATGGGCTAGTGAGATCGTTCAGTAGGTAGAAGTGCTTGCTGTGTAAGCCTAAGAGCTGGAGTTCCAGCCCTCGGACCACATAAAGGTGGAAACAGAGAACCAAGTGTGCACAAAGTCGACCTCTGGTCCCCACCAGTACAGGACGCCATGCATTCACCTGTACTCAGAGGGTCACACAAATAAATTTTATTAACTTGTTTTGTTTTGTTTTTTGACTGGTCTGGAACCTGATTTGTAAACCAGGTTGGCCTTAAACTCACAGAGATCCACCTGTCTCTGGGCCCGTATTACCACATCTGCCTATTTCTTTAAGACTCTATTTTTAACAATATGTGCCCCCCCTCTCTCTGTCTCTCTGTCTCTGTCTCTGTCTCTGTCTCTCTCTGTCTCTGTCTCTGTCTCTGTCTCTCTCTGTCTCTGTCTTTCTCTCTCTCTCTCTCTCTCTCTCTCTCTCTCTCTCTGTGTGTGTGTGTGTGTGTGTGTGTGTGTGTGTGTGTGTTGTGCGCACGTGTGTGTCTTGCCTGGATGTATGCATTCGAGTGCAGGAGCCCAGAGGCCAGAGAGGACATTGGGTGCCTGGAGCTCTGGTTGCTACTGTTGCTCTGGGTACTGGAAAAGAAGCTGTTTTGAAAGAGCAGCAGGCATTCTCATCCACTGAGTTATTTATCTCTCCAGCCCTAAATAAAAAGTCTTATAAAGAAATTAAGGGTGCGAGAGAGATAGCTCAACAGTTTAGAGTGCTTATTGCTCTTGCAGAGGATCCAAGTTCTATTCCCAGCCCCAGCATGGTGGCTCACAACCAACTGTAACCCAGGCCCAGGGATTGGATGCCCTCTTGTGGCCTCCATGGGTACAAGGCATACATGTGGGGCATGTATCTGTATGCAGGCAAAACATTCACATAAAATAAATCTTTTTTTTTTTTAAAGGAATTAAAGACGGGTGTTGGTGGTGCACGCCTTTAATCCCAGCATTTGGGAGGCAGAGGCAGGTGGATCTCTGTGAGTTCGAGGCCAGGCTTGAATAGGCTCCAAAGCTACACAGAGAAACCCTGTCTTGAAAACAAAACAAAGCCAAACAAGGAATTAAAATAAGAAGCCTCAGGTGATGGCACATGCCTGTAACCCCGGCACAGCTGAGGCGCAGGCAAGAGGCTTTCTGTAAGTTTGAGGTCAGCCTGGACTACCTGCCGGGTTCCAGACCAGCCTAGGTTATGCATAAGACTCTGCTGCCACAAGCAAGCAAGCAAGTGCGCGCGCGCACAAACAAACACACATGCACAGTAAATACATATGATTTAAAGCAATAAATAAAATAGGACATTTAAAATTGGTATGGAAGCCAGGCATGATTCATGCCTGTGATCCCAGCACTCGAGACACTGAGGCAGGAGGATCAGAAGTTCCAAGCCAGCCTTGTCCCAAAAACAACAACGATCAGCTAGCTAAATAAACAATTAGGTGTAGTTTGGTTCACTTAACAAATAAAAAGCAATGTATTATATGTTAGGGAGACTTAGTTCTGTGAAAAATAATAATTAGCCTGGACGGCACAGAAGGAATGCCATTGTTTTACATTTTTGAGAATCCATCTAATGCTGGCTGTAATCAAAGGTGGCTGGGTTTTCATAACCTACTTCCGAATTCAGCCTGGGATGTGGGTGAACAAGACAAAACCCTCAGACACCGGATTGAAAAGGGAAGACCCTGGGGTGGGGGACGGAATGGAAAGGGCTTAGAGACCCCCGGGGGGTTCTTCCGTGGAACTGCTGCCGGGAATGGAGCCCTTTGGGGCTTCAGAGGGACGCTCAGAGCCACCCATGGGGCCCCTCCCTGGCCCCATTGGGGCCCTGGTGTCTGCTGGGGGAGACTCTGCTTTTTATTGCCCTATAAAGCTCAAGGCAAGGGGGATATAAAGCTGGCAGAGTAGAGCCTGAGAGGGGGGCGGGCGGGCGGGAGAGAAGAGACAGG